GTTAGCATACCTGTTATTGCTCACACAGTATTTCAAGCTGTTCTTGTTTGGTGCGCGGTGTTTCCTCCGAGGTGTGGAGAATGGTCGAGGAGGAGGTGCTTTAAGCTGTTTGGTCATGTTGCAGAACATCTGGGAGGGTTTTCTTCATTGTGTGCTGAAACTGTTTGACAGTGTTGGCACTCACTTGAGTTTTTGAGTGAGAAGGGCTCGTTGTTGTTGTGAAGACTTTCTACCCAATATTTGTTGGTTTCACAAGCATAGGTGGTGACGTCTGAGCACAACCTTTTTGGGAACTGAACATGTTGGCTGAACAGGAGTAGCTATCTCAATGTCACAGTCGAATTCTGCTGCTTGCGCAGCCTGCTCGGGAGCTCTTTTCCTGAAACTAGAAACGGGACTCGGAGTACGTGTATTGATGTAGGTGCCGATATAGGGTGTGTTTGGGTGTCCTCGTACGCATATTTGTCTCGGGATTGTCTGTAGCTTTGTCAAAACTCGATGTCTTTTCTCTGGACAGTGATGCACTTGTGGGTTTGCTGGTTACTGTCCTTTATGCTGTTTGGACTGCACTGCCAGGCTATATGGGCGATTGATGCAAAATCTGAAGGGATCTGTATGTTTTGGATGCTGAAAGCCTTCCTACTGAATAATGTAGTTAAATGGACCCTGGAATGCTGTTTTTGTGCTCCAACTCTGCATTGTTAATGGCGGATGTATTCACCACACATCTGCATGCATGTACGGAGTTGCTCGGCGCTGTGTAGGTGGTGATGCTCGCTGTTGCTGCGGTCATGTCAATTCTACACAGCTATGGCAGATATGTACGCCATTAACTATGATGTGTGTTCGTATATCCCATGATTCTCGTGTTTCCCCCAGTGGCTCTGTTGTCCAGCGCCTGACCCTCATTTGGCATGTGTGACATTTTTTCACTGAAGTTCTTACCTTGTATGGATCATGGTGCCTGTTGTTCTGACAACATGGGTCTGGTCCTCTCTTGGTGTCGATGGGATCATGCTGACATAGATTGCTAGGATTGTATCCTTGGTTGTGTTTTTTCAAAATAAGGCACAGTCTTGATTTCACTTGCACTGAACTGTGTACCCACATCCATTTTGTTTTAACAATACTGGCTATTCTTTCTGTGTCGGTGTCGTTTCCTGCTGATAATGTCTCTATTTGCTGCGTTGTTATCATTTTCTGTTGTACGCATCTGTCGTGTATCTTCTTCTGGCATGTGCGGGCTCGTATGTTTGATGCGATTGTGCAAAAACTGTGCTGCGGCACATACATGCAGGCATCTGCTGGGATCTATTCATGGGTCTGTGTGGATATCCGTGTATGCCTTTGTGGTTTTCATCGTTTCCGCGCAGCTGGGTATGTGGGAACGCATGTGTTGAACTGGGTGGGGCATCGTGTTTGTGTCTGAGCGAAGTTGTGGGTGGGTGTTTTTCTGCTGTGGGGCAATGGTTTGAATGCATCTGCGTGTGGGTGCATGTCTGTATGTGTGTGTGTGGCGTATGTGTATGTGTGTGCGTGTGTGTCTGTTTGTGTAGGTGACATCCTTATCAAACATAACATCTCTGGGAATGGAGAGGTGCATTCGGGGCATTTTTGCGGTGGTGATCGTGATGGTGGTTTTTTTCCGGAGACTATACACTGCTTTGCCCCCGTGGATGTCTTTTGCCCATGGCTTGTCCGTTTTTTCTTTTCTCATATGACATTCGTAATGAATTTCCCGTCTTGGATCTATTCTGCCTGCTGCTTTGCATTTGCTTTCCGATGGAGTGGTGGATGGATTAATGGATGGACTGATGAGTGGATGAATGTTGTCTCCCCCTCCTGCTGTCTATTGTTCGTGTTCACTCCCTTTGTCATCCCTTCATATGCTTGCGCGCTTGGTCGACTGTCCTTCTCTGGCATGGCTTCGTGAATAACTGCCCGCCATCAGACAGCCCAGCCCTGTATGCATGCCGTCTCGGTGGGTGAGGTTGCCGTCTTCTTATGGACTGGACTGGAATTCTTGGATTGTCCTTCCTCCTCCTCTTCACCCCTTCTCTCATGCTCCCCTCTTGTTGCTGCTGTCCCCACATTTGGCTGTCTGGGCTTTCTTCTAGAGAAGACCAGGCTCCGGGTTGACGGGCTTGCCAACCTGGTATTCTCTTTCACCTGGCCTTGGTGGTTGGATGCTTTTGCTTGCACACAGCTGTTCTCCATCTATCTATTTGTTGTCGTGTTCAGAAACCAATGAAGTACAGCAATCAACGAAGTATAGCAACTAACTGAGTACGGAAGAATGGTCGAAACACAGGAAATGCCAGAGCATATTCATATTCCGTAGCAGATGCCACAACTGTAAAAAATTCTCTGAAATCTCCTCCTCATACTATAACCCTGATCAGAAGTGCATGCTGTATGTCCTGTGCAGACTGTTCCTTCCCCCCCCCCCCCTCCTTTTCATTGCATCAAAGCATATGTCAAATGCAACTGCTACAGTATGTTTAGGAATTGTCGTCAGTTCTTTGTCTCGCTTACACTTCCTCTCTTCAAGACCCCATTCTTTTGAAAATCTCTGAAAAAGAAGCTTCATCAAAGTAGCAGCCAGCTTGATCCTCCCCTGTGCTAAATCGGTTGTTATCATCCGACTTCTTGAAGCATGTTTTATAAGAATGTACTCCTGCCACGGTTGTTGTATCATTGAAGACATCAAAAGGTGGGTTGGAGGGGAACGGTTCGGGATATGGCTTGCTTCAGTTTCTCTCTCTCTCTCTCTCTCTCTCTCTCTCTCTCTCTCTCTCTCTCTCTCTCTCTTACTCTGTACTCCACAGTGGATGTCATGGAATGAATGTGTTGCCTTGTGGAGACAGGGAGGTTCCTGACTTTCTTCAGTTTCTCTCTCTCTCTCTCTCTCTGTGACAGGGAGGTTCCTGTACACTGTAACTTGGTTCTGTCACTGTTGACAACGGGAAAAGTAGTGTGGACTGTGCCTGGCTAGGACTTGCTTTAAACTGGGATGCGCAAGATTGGTCTGACAGGTGTGACTCGAAGTGGTGTCTTGATTTGGTACCCCAGCTGTGGTCTCATCGTTGAGTATTGTACGAGGGCTAGGGCAGCAGGGACTGACTAGCAATCACAACTGTTTTGTCTCCTCATCGAGTGCTTCATCGGCTTACATCGGGCGCAGACATGTAAGCCGGCGTATTGCCTGGCCCTCCGTATCATGTCCTCTGATAATGAAGTCATGGATGGCAGACTTGTCAAACTTGCTGCAAGGGATGATTGCATCAGTTTTCACATGCCGCTATTTGGGTTGGAAGCAGGGACCCACTGACTATTTTATATGAAGCGTACAGCGGCATTCTTAGACAAACTGGCTTTCTGACTCAAGTTCCATGACTTGCTAGCTCAGATGATACAGCTGCTGCTTATCGTCTCCAGGGCAATGCTCTAATCTTACTGACCACCTGGCTTTACAGCTGTGACAGATCCAAAATCCAAGGATACGAGTCTTCTTTATGTCAGTGCTTTTTTCAAGTCCCTTTTTCCACCGGTCAGGGGCGATATGGTTGCACCAGCATTCCTTTGCAGATGTTAGTGATGGGTTGCGCCGAAAATTGTGGTATTCCACCAGTGGGCTCAGCGCACAGAGTAGGGGCTGTGGGTTGCTGTCCATGGGTGCCGCTGATGATAACTATGTTCTTCACCCGAATACAAACGTACGGTTATTGTTGCCGTATTTAGACTGAAACAGGCCCCAAATACGTCCATAATGAATATGTCAAGGTGCCATGCATAAAAAGCCTTACAAAATATCATGAAAGCGATGATCTGAATGTTGAGACTCGTGTCAACAACCTGACAAGTCGATCAGTGTTCCATTGATGTAACCAAACTCCTCAGTGCAGTATATCTGAACACTGTTTCATTGATATTGGACTTTGTTATGATACGCCCTTGCTATGATGTCCAGTCTCTCCTCTGTTTCTAATTTTCTCCTTGGTATGGTGCTTCGATAATCGCTTCCGTGAAGCACTTCGGCAGATGGCATGACCTACAGGGAAGCCCGAGGTGTCACTCTGTACTCATTCAGGTCTCATCGCATTGAGGTGCATTTTTGGATCCTCTCTTTCTTCCACGGTTTTGATGCTGGGAGCTTAGAGGTATCAGTTGCATTGATTGCTAATCGTTATTGCAGTCACTTGGCCAGAGAACTGGGTGGAGCAGACCTCGACTGTCAGTTTTCTTGGTGGACTTGCAGTTCGTCATTCCATTTCTTTTGGCAGCCTATGGACCGTACTTGGCAGCAACGTTTCTATCTCGTGCACTGATTGTCTAAAGCTGGACCTCTTTTATAGTCCCCTTTAGTCTGGGTCCTTCAATCAAGGATTGAGTTAGGCATCTAAGGCATGTATTTAAGCCACACGAGTATAGTCACACTAGGCCCTCAAAATCACAAAATTGCAAAATGAACGGCCAGATCGAGTCCTTCGTTTAGAAGAACTCGATCTGGCCACTCATTTTGTGATTTTGCGATTTTGAGTGGGAAGACGGTCGGTGTTGGCTGATCTGTGTTTGTTGTATTGGCCAGCTTGGTGGAGTGTTGTCAAAGGAATAACAAAAACTGAGACATACATCATTGTGGNTGGCTGATCTGTGTTTGTTGTATTGGCCAGCTTGGTGGAGTGTTGTCAAAGGAATAACAAAAACTGAGACATACATCATTGTGGGACTGCCCTCGCCACTATCTTTCAGAGAACACCTCTGCAAACTCGGAAGGTGGTCGTGGGTGTAAACTTGAAAGGCCATTTAGAATGGCGTTTCCTAATGGTAAGTTGGGTGGATGGGCAAGATTATCCCCTTGTGACACTCGTTATGGTTTATGTTGGCGTTGCATTTCTTCGTGTTTTGGTTTTGTGGTGATATATGGGATGGGGGGAGGGGAAGCACTGTCTGTGTGCGGTATGTGGTTTGGCTGTGCGCTGATTTCTGGCAATGGACAGAGGGAACCAGGCGTATGAGAAAGGGGATTATCCGAAGGCAGAGGAGTACTATTCAAGAGGAGCTTCCTCTGTGTCTACATATGAGACAATTCAGAGCTGTGCTCGAGCAGCCATGTTGTGCTACAGTAATCGAGCTGCAACACGGCTTGTTGTTGGCCGAGTAAGAGATGGTCTCTCTGATTGCATGAAGGCAATGGCGGTTGACCCGAATTTCCTGAGGGTCAGGCTACGAGCTGCCAGGTGAGTGCGGGTTGTTTTTCTATGGTTATACGCAATCAAGGCACCATATAGCTTCACAGCGGTGGGAGTTGCACTGGATTGGAATGGGACAGTCTGGACGTGGGTTCTCGCCTTGGATCAGGATTTGACATGGTGCCTGTTTGGTATATTTTCTTAGGGGGGGGGGATGGACAGGGAGAGTGCCGGGACTGGTAGGTTTGACATGTTGTGGCAAGGCACATATCGATGGTGCACTTGTGGCGTAACTGCATTAGGAAGTTGCAAGCTCTCGTTTGTCATTCACTTCTCGTCTCAATGTCTGTGTAGACCAGCTTGCGACCCCAAAACTGCTCCCCTACCTGTCTGCTGCCGGTCAACATTCCCCTCCCCTCTCCTGCAACATGTGCAAAGCTGTCTCGTAGTACCCACTGGTGGTCCCCTTCCAAAGCATCTTTTACGTTTCCCCTCCCCTTCAGTATCCATGTGAAAGTCTGGGGTCTTTATTGACACTTCCTTTCCCTTTAAATGTGCATGTAAAGGATTGCAGCCTCCATCAATGCGGCGATATGCACCCCTGCAGTATCCGTGTGAAAGTCTAGGGTCTTTATTGGCACTCCTTTTCCCTCTAAATGTGCATGTAAAGGATTGCAACCCCCATCAAGGCGCCAATATGCATGTAAGGCAACTAATGATCCTGCTTGTTGATTCATTGGCACCAAGGTGTGTCTGGAGCATTATGCAGCCCCTATCAGCACTCTTCCTCTCTTTTACCGTGCATGTAAAGTGTCCTGCGATTCCAATGGATTTCCTGTGTCCGTAAAGATGTGCGTAAGCGTTTTGTGATTCACGTTGATAGTGCTCTATCCTCCCAACATGTGTAACAAAGCATGGTTGGATCACAATGGGATTTGCAGAGCAGAGGGCACACAGGTTTCAGGGTAGTCTGTACATATGTCAGGATGGGGGATGTGAGGTGGTTTGCAAGAGCTTTGCATGCATGAGGAGAGGGACTGTTGAGGGGGACTGTGTGGTGCTATATGCATGAAGAGAGGTGTAGCTCCAAAGGGGTGTTGCCATAAGCTGTCGGTATGGAAGAAAAAGGGTAACAGGAGGGGTGTGGACAGGAACTGCAAGGTGCTTTGCATGTGGGGGAGTGGAGGAAAAGGGGAGGGTGGGGGGAGGGAGAATTCATGGAGGGTTGCAGAGTGCATTGTCAAGCAAAGGTCAGGGCCGGAAGTGCTGAGGGTGATGCCATGACCAGTAGCAAGTGGTCGAGTTGTCGCTTCGTGTGGATGCTCGGCATGAAACAGATTGTGCCCCTATGTGGATGTCCAGAGTGACTGTTGGTTGTGTTAAAGCAGTGTAAGCGGGCGATGACTGTTTGGCAGTGCCATGAGGGGTGATGGGTGATTATGGGAATCTTCAGTGTTAGAGGGGGTGGGAAGGGGCTGTGAGCTGTGTTGGAAGATGGGGCAGGGGGTCGGGGGCGAGAGTGCTGTGTTGGAGGATGGGGTAGGGGGTAGGTGCAGAGTGCAGAGGGTTTTGGGGGGCTGTGTAGGGTGGTTCAATGGGTGCCAGTGAGAGGTATGTTTATAGCCACGAGTGGGGGTAATAAGAGGGATGCCACTGCCTCCAGTCCTTCCTCTGTTGGTTGGAAGGTCTGGTGTCAGGTCACTACAAGTGCCTGAGGCCATGGAAGTTCTGAACCAGAGCTTTGGACCTAGCTGCGGTGGACACAACCACTGGGCTCATCCACTTTCTAAGGGGTGTGACCGTTGTCCAAAATAACGTTGTGCTTTTTTTTGCTGAAATTTGCTCTCGAATCTGGTTGGGATTCTTTGTTTACTGTCATCCGAAGGCTTCTTTGTTGGAAACAGCGCTTTGGGCCTAGCTGCGGTGGACACAACCACTGGGCTCATCCACTTTCTAAGGGGTGTGACCGTTGTCCAAAATAACATTGTCGTGTGCGTTTTTTTGCTGAATTTGCTCTCAAATCTGGTTGGTTCTTTGCTTACTGTCATCCGAAGGCTTCTTTGTTGGAAACATACTAATTAGGGTTTTGAGTTTCTAGACCACGAGCATCATCTGTGCCAGGCAACGGGATGAGGGCAAGCCAATGCCTAATGAAGCGGGTTTTGTAAATGTGACAATAATTCAAGCGAAGGTCATGGCCAGGAGGCTCGAGTCATCTTGGGCTGGCCAAGTTGGTAGCGTAGGAGATGTCCAACTTTATTCTGTACGTTCATGGCTGGTATGGCTGCGAAGTGGGCAGTGGGCTCTATCGTCTTATTGCATGATGGCCTCGAGGAACTGAAATAGAGTCCCATCATTAAATTGACAGAGATTTCAGGCAGTGAGTGATTCTCGAGGCGCTTTGCGGTAGTACATTTGTGTAGTTTGAGAGAGAGTTATTGGGCCTCGCTCCACTGCACAGCAGTCTAAATGCAGCCATGGTCCCAATACGTTCACACGTTTCATCAGTCTGATGATATCTGGTCCACGTACAGTCTTTAGATACGTGTGGAATGTTGAGTAGTGGAGTGAGGGCCATTTTTTAGATCTTTTTCTGATTGTTGGTTTGGATATTGTTTGAGATGATGATGAAAACAACGTAGCCAAGGTAATGAAGATCTCTGCGGGAGTGATGTGCTCCACTGGTTGGTGATTATCTGAAAGGAGGGGCATTGATTGGTGTTTCATGTTTCTTGTGTGCCTTTTTCAATGAATGGGATAATTCCACACAGCTGCCATTTGCAACTGGGGGAAGTGGAGCCGGCAATCGCGCTGTTCAAAGACTGTATTGCAAGGAGGAAGGATGGCGATAAACCGGATTTGAAAGTGGCAACGGAGGCTGCAGAGGGTGTGAAGAAGGGACAGGTTGGTGGACATGTGCAAGCCCAACATAACCCTCTACACATCATGTTTACCTTACTATCTATTTTCTTCAGCACATTGCTCAAGGTACCCCTTACTGCTATCATTTGTACTGCCGACTGTACAACGTGCAGGGTGTCTTAAATCAAGTCAAATGCCTAATAGTCCGCTGACTTGCTCAAACTGCTAATATAGATGGGCTTGATTTGCTCTCCACTTTTCCCATGTTCCTTGCAATCTCCATTGCAGTCTTCTCTATGCTCATTTAAGCTCCTGCCATTGCTCCTTCAAAGCTCCTTCTGCACACTGTTTGAACTTCCTGCCAACACACCTTTTAGAACTCCTTTCCTCGTCACTACGTTCCTCACAATGTCTTTCCTTGTCTTTCCTCCTCACCTCCCTCACCCTTCTTGGGCCTCCTCTCCTGGCCTCTCTGTGATTCCTTCCCTTATGGACTCTTTGGAGTCCTGGTTTCGGGAAATTATGTTCACCGGTGTTGTGTCCGAACTTTTCTGAAGCCCCTTATGGACTCTTTGGAGTCCACTGGTTTCGGGAAACTATGTTCACCGGTGTTGTGTCCGAACTTTTCTGAAGTCCTTTATGCTTGTGTAGTCTCGAACACCTTTTACGATCTGGTGGCTTTGCTGTGTTTCAACCCTCCTTCAGACGAAAGCTTCTTACAGTCTGGTCGCTCATCTCCAATCATCCTTTGTTTAGCTGAACCCCTTTCAATCCAAACTTCTCTCCTCACCCCTAAACCCTCGTTAAATCTCTCCTAACTACGTTTGTTTTCTTGACCTCATCTCAACCTCCAACTTTCCTCTGCCATTTCCTCCTTGCCTTGTCTGCACCTCTCCTTCAGTGAATTTGAAGCACACTCTGTGATGCGGTCTGGAGGAAGAGTTTCCTATCTGTTGAATTCCATTCTCTGAACCTCTTGGCAACCTCTTGAAATTCCCCTGAACCTGTGCCTGAAGCTCTGAAGCGTCTCCCTGATGTCTCGTCATTAGCCTCCAAAATTCAAAATACATACGCACCCCTCATTGTTCACACCTTTTCTTAAACCCACCAATGTCTCTGACGTTAAAAAATCGTGGCTTTCCGGGACGATGGGAGGTCGGTTGCCCGGAAGAAGCGGAGGTCGGCAGTAATTCAAGCCGAGGTCGGCCAGAAAAAAAGAGAAAAAAGCTTAACTTTGACGACTTTTCACAGAAGAATAAACCAAAAAATCTGAAAATCTAAGATCCGGTAGATTTGGCCGTGATCTGTTTGGAAAAATTATCAAAATAATATTTTTTTTTTACTCGTTTCGCTTGCAGGAAAGCAATTAGAATATCAGGTATCATGGTTGTGTAACTCTGTGCCGAGATGGTATACAGTTATTATCGACTTCCTTGTCATCTGTGGTTTCAACCTGCAGGAAAGCAATTAGCATATCGGGTATCACGGTTTTTAGAACCTGCAACAGAAATGTCCAATAGTTATAGAGCATGCTTGCAACTGCACAGCTCACCACATGGGAAGTTGCACTTTACAGGGTTTGGTCTTCTCCTCCTCCGTATAGTCCTGTATCTGTACCCCACAGGAGCGCACGGGACTGCATGCTGTCTGGCTCGGCCATTTTGTCCGGTGTGGGTTTGTGCACGAGTTGTGTGGAGTGTGTGGAAGATATTTTTTCTCTCTCCCCACTCCAGATCCATCGTTTGGCACCCTTGCTGGGATCTATCCCTCTGACGCCATCTTCATGGCAATGCTGCTTGATCAATGCTGAAGTGTAGTTGTGGCTCTTCATTGCGACCTGCAAACAGGCAGAACAGTAGAACAGAGGCCAGGAAATCACCCTTGTCCCGCATCCGCTGTGAAAAGCACCCCCTATTCTCCCTTTCTGTACCCCTGACGCCCTGGAAAGACGCCAGGAAGTCAGTCTTATATGCATTGCACTTTCTGCCTTTCCAAATAGACATAAATAGAATAGCAGTTAACTGCTTATCCTGAACTAAAAAGGAAAAAAGTGGGACTGCTTTTGCGAAACAATAAAGGGAAAAACATGACCAATTGCCTCTCTGGAAAGTAAACAATTGCCATTAGCCAGATTTTGCAGTGGAGGAGAGGAGGAGGAGGTGGCGACTTGCCATTGAGGGATGAGTCTTAATCTTCCAAGGTAGTGGTGACAATTGATGAGGACGAGTAGAGATGGAGGACAATGAGGAGAGATGGAGGAGGAGGTGAGGTGGAGGTGAGGAGGAGGTGAGGAGGAGGTGACAAGAGTAGTAGTAGGTCACATGGCATTGGCGAGGAGGAGGTGGTTACGATTAGGTGAGATGTAGGTGGTGAGATGGAGGAGGTGATGAGGAGGAGGTGGTTACGATGGCAGATGAAGATGTCGAGGAGGAGGAAGAGCAGGTAGCGAGGTGGAGGTGGCAGTGAGGTGTTCACGAGGAGTACTGATGGAGTTCCATTTTCCAAAAGAAAAAAGGTGATGAAGCCGTGACCAGAACGACGTGAGATAGAGGAGTAGGTGATGATGAGGTGGTGGTGGTGGTTACAAGGAGGAGAGATGGAGGTGGTGTTGCGGAGGAAAAGGAGGGGGAGGTGACGAGGCATTGAAGAAGAGGCTACGTGGCATTGAAGACCAGGAGGAGGTTACGAGGCATTGAAGAAGAGGGGCTTACGAGGCGTTGAAGAAGAGGAGGAAGTGACGAGGTGGAGGTGGTGGCTAGAAGGAAGAGGGGGAGGTTACGAGGAGGAGACCCAGTGGTGTTCCAACGCCTAAATTTTCGTGAAAAGGAAAATGGTGACGGAGCGGGGGCGAGGAGGTGAAGAGGAGGAGGAGGAGGTTATGAGGAGAGATGGAGGAAGATGTGACGAGGAGTAGATTACGAGGACAAGTGGACATGGAGGAGCAGGCGACGAGGAGGATGAGAAATGATGGGGAAGGTGAGTGTGAGGAGGGGGAGGATGCAGTTGGTGCTGATGGTTGCTCTGGGGTTTGTCGACAGCGGGGTAAGGAGAAGGTGGTTGGGACGAGTTAACATGGAGCACGTGACGAGGAGGATGAGAAAGGACGGGGAAGGTGAGTGTGAGAAGGGGGAGGATGCAGTTGGTTCTGATGGTTGCTGCGGGGTTTGTTGACAGTGGGGAAAGGAGAAGTAGGTTGGCGCTGCTCACAATGTGTGGCCGGAGATGGTGTTTCCTGGGATTCGAATCTCCGAGCCGTACCTGCAAGACTACGAGTATAACGGCCCCGTGGAACCCATTCTTTACTCGTTTTTGTTGTCCTGCAGAATCAAACAACCCTACTAGAGCTTATCGACCGCGGCACCGCGTCTCGCATCTGCAATGGTCCACGTTAGTGTTTCTGCATCGCGAAGCGTGAGACGTCCGATGTAAAATTCTGACGCGCGATCGTTTGCATCGCGAGTGTGAGACGTCCGATGTAAAATTCTGACGCGCCTGACACGTCTGATACGTTTGGCATTTATTTTTTTTCTCGGGTGAGTCTGGTTTTGTTTCGTTTTTGCGTTCTCTTTTATGCTTTGGGCCTTGCTGCACAATACGGACAGATACACGGTCATGATTTTTGTTTTTCGTCCGATGTAAAATTCTGACGCGCGATCATTTGCATCGCGAAGCGTTAGATCTGATGTAAAATTCTGACGTGCCTGACGCATCTGACGCATTTGGCGTTTGTTTTTTTCTTGGGCGAGTCTGGTTTCGTTTCATTTTTGCGTTCTCTTTTATGCTTTGGGCCTCGATGCACTACTCTTGAAATACGGACAGATACACGGTCGTGGATGTGGAGAGTAGTGAATCTTCCGCTAGAATATGGACAGATACACGGTCATGATTTTTGTTTTTTGTGGATGTCGTCGAGAGTAGTGCAGCGAGGCCCTTTGTTGTTGGCTGTCGGTGGGTGCTTGGGGCCGGTCGGTGTCGGTGCTTGGGGCTGGTCAGTTGGTGCTTGGGGCCGGTCGGTGGTGGTTGCGGC